GCCATGGTTTGTCAAGGTAATGTTAAAAATATTTGATGCTATCTTTTGAATTAAGCACATCATCCTTGCATTTTTAGATTTTAGCTTCATAAAGTGTCATGTCAGATAGTAAAGCATTTTGAAAGGAAAAAGATATTTAAACAGAAGTTTCTGTGTACCCTAAGAAGAATTTGAAATGGAGCTTACACCACCCTCCTTAATTCAGTAATTAGCTAGACACGACCTATAGTCAGGGGACTGTAATAGATTACACCTGTTTCAACTTTTGCTGTTTCTATTGGCAGTGACTTTTGCCATCCCATATTTCTTGTGAAGCAAAAATCTGAAATAAAATATGCCAAGCACTACAGAAATTATAATAAACATAAAAAATGAATTGTACAGCTTAAAATATGAAGTGCTTTACTTGCGTTTAGCCAGCCATGTTTCAGTAGTATTGAAATAATTTATTCCTAGAGTTCTATGTCATGAAAATAAAGACAATTGCTTTAATTGGCAGGAAGAATACAAGGCTTTTTACACTTGAATGAATAAACTTCGGAGCAGTAGACAGAAGTATTACTGCAAAGATACTCATAGGAACCCTGCTCAGTCATCACGTGTGCTCCTGCACCTCTAGAATAAAGGAGCTGAGGAGGTATTAGCATGCAGACTTGTGGACTCAATAGAACTGTGTTACTACCAATTATAATCAGACTTCAAAAGTTGAAGCACACATGGCACAGTTGTGAGGTATAGGCTGGCTTATTTCACAGGCAACATTTTGCCATCCAAACATAATGAATAGGAAAGGACCCGAGTCAGGATGTTAGCATACCTCATGTTTTCCTGTGCAATCCAGTTCTCTAAGATCCTTGATACAGCCTTTATTTTTCAGGTTTAACAGTAGCTGTCAGTCTGTTCTGTTGGGTCCAGAGTAAAGTGACTGGATTTTTCATGCTTTGTCCAGAACAAGAATAGCTAAACCAGATTTATAATAAGTTTAATTTGGATTGAGTTGTGACTGTGAAAAGCTCATTGAGAAAATTGTCAGATCTGCGTTTTGATTTTGGCTTTATTTTCCTAGTTTGGCGGTTTTGAGTGTCGTCCGGGTCGGGACTGCGTAAGTTGACTGAGGATAAGGACTCATTTCTATTCATGATTTAGCCAAGTATTTGTGGAATAAAAAAGTGAACTCTAGTTTTTTGTGCATCTTTAAAATTAGCATTTCATTTAATTTTTTAAAAAATATAATTGCTCATTTAAGAAATAAGATTAGTTGCACTAAAATAACAGAAAACTAAGTTTTAGTAATCCTGAATACATCGACTATAGCATTGGACTCAGAGCAGCTGTGGGCCATTTCATTGGGAAGAGATGAGCGGTTCCAGGCTGCGACCGCAGGAGCCCTATCTCATCCTGCGGGAGCAGGTTTGCTGGGCTTGTGAAGGTTTTGCTTCTTAACCTTGGGTTTCTTTGTGACATCATAATAATTCACATAAGCCCCTAGTAGGTAGTGTCAGGAGGGGTCTTACACAGCAGACGTGTAAACGAGAGACACCAGAGGGCTGCTTCCCACCAGCGACTCACTGTGTACCCCTGCCACCTGCATACTTCTGACTGTGAGAGGACTTTTGTTTAGTGAAGTTGGCATGACAGGCACTACGTAAGAACATCAAGAACTTTATCATCATCTACACTGAAGAGGACCCTTTGCTCTCAGTCTGCAGCCCTGTGTTCCCGGGCAAGTAGAGTAGAAGAAAAGCCATTGTGAGCTTGCTCAGCTGAGAGTAGCTGGGTGCTTCCTCGGCTTGGAGGGAGTTGATCTCACAAAGCATCCTGGGCTTTTAGTCAGCAGCATTTTAACAGGTGTCTTAGTTTCTCTTTGCTGGGACAAAGTAAGTACCCAACACATACTAGTTAGAGGAGGAGATGCTTATTTAGCTCACCCTTCATGGAGGTTTCAGTTCACAGTCAGCTGGCCCCAAGGAGCGTCCTGTGGCAGAGGAGAAGTGGTCTGTGGCAGGGCAGGCAAAAGGCAGTACAGGTTCCTTGTTTCCATTTTTCTTGCAACCAGACTGCAAGCCCGTTGGTTGGTGCCACTCACACCAGGGTGGGTCTTTTCTCCTCAGCAAGTTCGTTATCCATATCCAGAGCTATGCTGAACCAATTATCTTTTCAAGTTTTGAAAGCTTTAATATAGATATATTTCCAAGTTACGGATTAATCATAGTTTATCAAAAGCAAAAAATTTATTTGTGGAAATGTATAACTCAGATGACCCACAGCAGTGTCTGTGCCAAGGTTATGTTGTAGATTTTGTGAAATTTGTGTAAAAAGTAATGTTAAAGACTCAGGACATATGAGAACTTGTACTGTAACGTCATGTACCTCGGTAGTGTCCCAAATTTTCTGATCAAGAAGATTATGGGGCAAAAGAG